TAAAAAGAATTACTGATTAAATTTATTTTAATTAAAAATAAAATATATTACGTATTTGATTTTTTAAATTGAAAAAAAGATTTAAAAAAATTACTGGTTAAATTTATTTTAATTAAAATAAATTTCATCAGTAATAATTTTTAATTTGAAAAGTCATATACGGAATATAATTTATTTTCAATTAAAAATAAATATAATCAGTAATCCTTTTTAATTTTTTTTCCATTTGAAAAATCACTAACATAATATCTTTTATTTTTAATTAAAATAAATTTAATCAATAATCTTTTTTAAAAGTAAGTATTTTTTTGGTTTAAAAAGTATTTTGGGACTTTATCGTTCAAAATATGAATGTATATTTACTTTTTTTTTTTTATGTTTTTCTATTATTTTACTTTATTAATTAGTTTTATAGGTGATAAGAATGTATATGATAGGTTTTAAAAGTCGAAGAAGTTGTTTAACAAGTTTTGAAATGTTTAAAGACTTATTTGTTGCAAAAAATTATCCAAGAACTTAATCATTCCAAACACTGAAGTCCATTGGGATTTTTAGACTTTTCCCTAGTTTTATAGGTGATAAGGATGTATATAATAGGTTTTAGAAAGTCGAAGGAGTTGTTTAACAGGTTTTGGAATGTTCAAGGACTTGTTTGTTCCAAAAAATTGTCCAATGACTTAATCATTCAAAACACTAAAGTCCATTGGGTTCTTGTAGACTTTTCCCTAAATATAACAAATAAATTCACACATCATTTTTATATTTGGTGAGGTTTGAACCTCTGATCTCTTAAGAGACCAAAGACTCATATACCGCTAGACCAAAAACCATTTGATGAAAAAGATGTTTTTATTTACATGTCTAACACTAAAAAAACTTAGAGGACCAAAATATTAGTCTTAGGGGCCGTTTACCAAACCCTTACCCGGTAAACATTTACAGGTAAAATTTAACACTACCACTTACTTACTGGGTGAGACTTTTGTCTACCAAAACGGCATTGTATGCAACAATTTACCCAGTAAGCGTTTATCATAGTAAAAGTTGTCGCCTTCACTTACCGGGTAAGACTCTCGGTCCTTGTCTCCCTCTTACCGGATAAGATTTTTGGTCCTTACCATATTCATCCAGTAATGTAATATGACTTGGTAAACGTTTACCCGGATAATTAAAATATAATAATTGATTAATTTTTCAAACCGTTCTTTTAATTCATTTTATATTCTTATCAACTATTGTTTGTCAAACGTGATTTTTTCATCAACAACATAACATTAAAAGTCAATAATATAGGTCTCTAAAAATATATATATTAATACTCTATTCAACTTTTCTAATTATATATGCAGATTAATAGTTTAATATATTAATAAAATAGTATAATAATAAATACATGTATTATTTTATCATTAAAAAAGTTTTTACGGTATATATGTGAACAACTTTTATGTATTTGTAAAACAAAAAATACAATTAAAATATTTCATATTGTTAAGTGAATATATATGAAACAAACATATTGTAAAACAAATATATGTTAATCAATATATTAAATTATAGAATTGGATGAAACAATGTTTTGCTATAATAGTTCTTGCAGTTATCATAATATGTAAGATTTTAAAATTAAACAGATATATATATATATATATATATATAGGAGAGCGATCAAATGAAAACCACTCCAATTTGTAAAAACCGTAAAAACTACTCTCATCCGTCATTAATCTTATGAAAATTTTTCGTGAAATTGTTAATCTTGTGAAATTGTTTCATATAATACTTTTTTTGATGAAGTTGTTTCATATATGGTTATGAAATTGTTTTATATACTATTTAATGAAATTTTAATAAAATTGTTTCATATATTTCTCTAAAATTAAAATAATAAAGATGGTAATATCCATGATTAACACCTTTCACAATAAAAATGATTAATCAACTTCTCATAATTACAAAAAAATTAACAAAATGAAAAATTATGATCAGTTGAATGAAGTTTTTACGATTTTTACAAATTCAGTTGAAAAATTAAAGGTCAACCTGAAACCGGAGACTAGCCTCACCCAGAAACAATTGGAACCAGAATTGATAGCGATCGACTACGGCTCCACGTTTTAGGAATTGTTACAAGTTTTATGGAGCCGTAGTCGATCGCTATCAAAGTTGAATACAAATTTGCATACACGTTTTTAATTGTTACAGACTTGGATGGATTTTTTTGGCCATCTCTACGGTGGTCCATGCCACCAATTTACGGTTTTGTCATAGTGGAAAAAGATTTACATTGGTGAAGGTTCTGTCCTAATGTTTCATTATGTATCATATAATTATATATAATATTGACCACGATAAGTCAATAAACTGTCGGATTCAATCTTGGCCATTTAAATTAATCTTGAGTTTAGATCTAAGCCGTTTAAACTCTTTATTTTGTAGTTACATCACTTATTGTTGAAATTTTGAGAGGTACAATTCAATTAAGCATATTGTACAATATCTTAAAGCTTAGAGCCTCCCTAGATCTTCTACCAACTCATTTTTAATTTCAAAATTACACTTTATATCATTATAATTAGTTATTTGATTTACTTTATATCATTTGTTTTTTCATTTTTCATTTTACACATTTATCATATTAACATAAATAATTATATATTAACCAAAATACATTAAATATATATTTTTTTAATAAATTATATCATTATAATCATCTCATCAGTACATTCAAAATGAGTCAAATATTGAATATTTTTATATTTAATCGTATTATTAAATAACATAGATACATAATGGATTGTTTTTAAAAACTTATTTTTAATATCTTAAATTTTCTTTTTGCACCCCTTATCTATACTATCCATACTATATATATGAGCACACTACATGTTAGATTTTAGCAGATATCTATTTTTATGCATGATGTATAAGTTTTGAAGTTGCACAACCTCCATGAAACTTCCATGTTCAAAAATAATATTAAAAATCAAATTATTTTTAATTTCTAAATTACAATTTATACCCTTATAATTAGTTATTTAGTTTAGTTTATATCATTTACCTTTTCAATTTTCATTTTACATCCTTGTTATTTTAACATAAATAATCGTATTTAAACTAAGGGAGCGTTTGGTTAGAGGTATTAAGTAGTAACCAATGATAATGATTAGAAACTCTTTATTATTATATAATATAATGGGTCATTCCCCTAAAAGTTTAAATTTTCATTTCAGATTAAAACCAAGGGAAAGAAAATTCATTCTCTGTTACTTTCATTTTCATTCCCCAACATGAAACAAACAGACCCTAAAATACGTCAAAAAAATAAGTTTTCTTATTTACAGACTATACTATTATAATCATCTCATATATATTCAAAATAAATCAAATATTGAATATATGTTTAGATTTAATTATATTATTATATAACATAAATACGTAGTAAATTAATTTTAAAAACTTAATTAATTTTAAAAACTTACATTTTATACCTTATAGTTATTTATTTACTTTATTTTATATTCATTACTTTTCATTTTTCATTTCACATATTTATTATATTCGATTGAATTTATAGAGGTACAATCTATTATGCATCCTCTACAACTCTTACATGGTTCAGCTTCCACGTCCAACTCAAACCGCTGGTCCACCTTCCCAAAACCTCCTACTTTCTCTCTCACTCTCCCCCGACCCAACAAACCTCTACCCACCATGAAATCCACCAAGCCATTGAAATTTCTAGTCCCCTAAAACCTGTCTTCGATATAAAAATGGTGAATCGTCTTCATTCAAATACCATATCTTTCTTGTTGCGCTTTTAAATCAGTGGAAATGAACTAATCAATTTCAGTAAATATAGAGTGGACCGAATGTTAAAAATCGTGTGAAGTTTACCTTCACAGTGTTTTGCTGTGAAGTTTCAAGGGTAATAATCATGTTTCACAAAAACAATTGCCTCACATGATCCCAWRTATATATATATATATATATATATAGAGAGAGAGAGAGAGAGAGAGAGAGAGAGGTTGGTTATTATACAACCCTTGACATTTGTGCAACCAATACAACCCAATCTCAACCGTCCATTTCATTTGATGAATATGTGATTTCATAGAAGTTTTGATTGTTTCCTAATATAAAGTATTAATCATAATTAATGAACTCTATTTATATTCCATAAATATTCAAATCATAATAAATGAACTCTCATCATTTCTATAAATATATCAATTAATTGGGTTGCAAGGGTTGTACAAATACACAAGGTTGTAAAAGAAATATACCCTATATATATATATGTATATATATAAGCGAATGATGGTGTGAGAATGAGAGTTAACATGAGAAGCGTATGAAGGGATATGGATCTTTGATCACCTTTGATCTCAAACTCACCCATTAATCACGCTTGATACGATGACTGATTCGGTGTATCTCGGTGCATCTCATCTTAATGTGCATCAAATGGTAGATATATCTTTTAACTTTTCTTCTCATCAGAATCCAATCATATATATATATATATATATACGCACATTCAAAGGAGAACTGACTAGTTTGTGGTAACCGTGAGATCCAATCTCAACCACAAATCAATAGATAAATTAGGAAATTTTTAATTTTGGTAATTTTTAATTAAAATTTTAATGTAAGGATATTTTAGGTATTTTCTCTCCTCTCTTCTCTCTCCGTCTTCCGGCCTTCGGCCACCGTCCTTCGGTGATACCACAATGTGATACTCAAGCACATATAAGATGCATTGTGATACCACTGTGTTACATATCCGATCAACCATACAAACGACCTCAGTGTGATACCCAATCACATATAAGATGCATTGTGATACCACTGTGGTATCACCGGAGGACGGTGGCCGGAGGCCAGAGGACGGAGGCCGGGGGACGGAAGCCGGGAAAAGAGGAGAGAGGAGAGAAAATACCTAAAATGTCCTTGCATTAAAATTTTAATTAAAAATTACCAAAATTAAAAGTTTCCTAATTTATCTATTGATTTGTGGTTGAGATTGGACCTCACAGTTACCACAAACTAATTAGTTCTCATTTGATTAGTTAGTGGTAAATGTGAGATCCAATGTGAACCACTCGTTTGAGATATTTAAGGATATTTATTAAATAAACTAAAAGAGTAATATATCAATTCTTTTAACAACTAATCAAAATATTTAATTACATTTTGTAGAAGGAAATATTTAATTAAAATTAGAAACCTAGTATATCAATTACCTAATATAAATCGTATTTTAAAGATGTTTGTGAATCAAAGTGTATGATAGTGATAACGTTCACAATGTTTCACGTGTATCACAATGTATGTTCTTTGTTTTATGAAACGCATCATAGTTTATTTTTATTGTTTTACAAAGGATATCATATTGTGCATCTTGTATGTATAGTTGGGTATCACAGTGAATATCGTTTGTATGTATCATACTATGTATCTTTTGTTCACATAAGGTACATTGGAATAACGTTCGTCGAATAAGATTCGTCGGAGAAAGGAAATAGGAGAGACGAGAGATGATATTTATAAAATTCTTAAAATGCCGTTAATTAATATTTTAAGTTAAAATTATTAATTTCCTAGTTTAACATTTGATTTATGGTTGAGATTGGATCTTATGGTTACTACAAACAAAACAGTTCTCATTTGATTATGCCCATATATATATATATATTTATATATATAGATAGATAGAGAGAAAGAGAGAGAGAGTTTGTTTCACAAGCAACCATCACATTTGTACAATCAATGCAACCTAATAAATTGAAATATTTATAGAAATGAGAGTTCATTTATTATGATTTAAATATTTATGAAAGATGAATAAGGTTCATTAATTATAATCAATATTTTATATAAAAAACAATCAAAACTTTTATGAAATTACATATTCATCAAATTAAATGGACGGTTGAAATTGAGTTGTATTAGTTGTACAAATGTAAGAGGTTATAAAATAACTCACATTCTCTCTCTCTCTCTCTCTCTCTATATATATATATATATATATATAATATTCACAATTACTAAACATATACATAAAGAAGTTTTATAGAGATGGATAATACATTGAAAATATACTTACATGAAGAGGATACATGATGGTGTACTTGTCTAATGTATATGTTAATAGATAATCAACATTCATATTAGATCCAAGTATTAAAAGGATACATGGTTCATCTCGTTGGGTTGAGTTCAAATAATATTAACTCAATATAAATTCAATACCTACAGTTTGGAAATTTTACAACTCGATTGGACATCGGATTGAGTTACTTATGTATGGTTAGGCTCCATTTGTATAGTTGGTGAAATTTGGCATATCCTAACCAAACCCTTCACATGGGCTTGACGCACATTTGATTGGATTGAGTTGATCGGGTTTTTGAGCATCCTATCGTTAGGTGCAAGGGGTTTGGATGACATAGGATTTGAAAACCGTAAAATTAACCAGTTTTTGTTTTTATTTAATTAGAGAAGTTCATATCCCGTTACATGTAGTTTTTTCATTAAAATATGTAAATAACCAATTTATAAAAATTCAATATTCCTAATATTCAAAACATGAAAGTTATCGAGTTTTCTTAACTTTTTTTATGTAATTCTTTTTAGTTAAATAAATATAAAAATGAAAACTATAAAAACTATCAATAGATATACTAAAATTAATTGAAACACAAAATAATAATTATAAAATAAATTCTTTTTAGTTAAATACTAGAAGCGTACTCGCGCAATGCAGCGAGATACATCGTGTTTTTAATATTTCATTTTATTTTTTATCTCAGTCGATGTTATAATATGGCTTT